GTAAGGTGTGTGTCCAGGTGGATGACAATGGTCCCGGGAGAGGTCCGAGGCCCACAGCGTAGGAGAGACCCGAGGAACAACCACAGGGGAGGCCTTGGGGAGGGAGAGGAAGGGTCCAGGGCATGATGGAGGGTGAGCAGGGACTTCTAAAGGTGGGAGCAGAAGAAGGTGGCCTCAGTCTTAGAGGTAACAGCTAGTAAAGGGCAGGGCGCAAGCCAGCTCTGGTCACCTGTCAGGACGAGCATGCGTGCACTTGCGTCCTAATACAGACTCCTCTGGGGTACCCTCTCTCCCCCAGGACCTTCTCAATTCTCTAACATTTCCTCTGTGACCCACCTGGGCCACCCAGGCCGCCAGCTGGTGTCATGTGACATCCCTCCCTCCTGGCCACTTCCTAGTTCCCTGACCCCAGCTGGGGTGAATGACCCCCCCCCTTCCTGGCAATGTGGAGTAGCCTGATCCTAGTGCAAAGCAGCTTAGCCCTGGCCAGGCTCTGCAACCATCTCCTTGGGCGTCTTCAGACTTCCTTCTGCCTTTGCTCCTAGGTCCCTCTGTACAGGGCAGCCCTGGGCTCTTTCCAGCCTACAAACCACATCTCCTCACCTTCCAGTGGCACCTCACAGACCTCTGGACAGAGTCCCAGCTCCGTGTTACATCCTGTTGTCAGGATAGGGAACACCTGAAGGAAGACACTTCCCTCAAGCAACTGACAATCTACCAAATACTAGTAATATCACATGAAGATGTCTAGCACCCCAAATTCTGTTTGAAGATAAAACAAAAATTACCTATAAATATTATATTGTGTGTCCTGAGAACGTGTCTTCATGGTGTTCTGCGTGACGAGATAGGAGTATCCTAGACACTTGTGCTGCACAGAGAGGTTTGTTGCTTATCCCAAGGAAAAGCGCTTGCGCGATTGAGTTGTGAGCTCTACTACCTCCTTTTTCAGGGATCGCTATTCTTTACATTGTAAAATACACACAACACATGATTTACAATTTTAATAATATTTAAATGTCCACTCAGCAATGTTGAGTATATTCTCACTGTTGTGACACAGACATTCAGGACTTTTAACCTACAGAACTGAGACTCTGCACTCACTGTTTAGCCATGACTCTCGTTTTTCCCTTGACCCAAAGCCTGGAAACCAGCATTCTTTTTGATGTTTCCATTAATTTGAAACCTCTAGACTACTTATTGAAATGGAATCATACAGTATTTGCCTATTTGTGACTGGCTTATTTCACTCAGTTTAATGTCCTCAAAGTCTATGCATGTTCTGACATTCAACAGGATTTTATCTTTTTAAGATTAATAACACACACACACACTTATATTTATAATGCATTTTATTTATCCATCATGTGTCCATCGACATTCGGGTTGCTTTCACCTCTTGGCTATTGTGAATAGTACTGCTATGATCCTGAGCGTGTGAATACCTCTTTGAGATTCTGTTTTCTCATATTGTGAATAAATATCCAGAAGTGGGCTTGCTGGAGCATGTAGTAGCCTATTATTAATTTTTTGAGGAACCACCTTATTGCTTTACATAGTGGTTTTATGATAGTACAACAACAGTGCACACTTTCTCCACATCTTCAGCAACTCTTGTAATTTTCTGGTTTTTTTTTTTTTGATAAGAGCCCAGTTATCAGGAATGGGGTGCTACCTCATTGTGGTTTCGCCTTGCATTTCCCTAACAATTATTGATGAGGAGCAACATTTCATATGCTTCTTAGCCATTGCTATATCTTGAAGGGAGAGTGTATTGAAAGTCCTTTTCACTGTTTTAAATTGAGTGATTTGATGTTTGTTGTTGATTATCCTGGAATGTAGCTCAGTATTAGAGAATGATTTGTAAATATTTTTACCCTTCCAAAAATCGCTAGTCACTTCCGACTGTGTCATTGGATGCATAAATTCTTATGTTTGATGAAATTCAAATTTTCCATTTTGCTGCATTTTCATTTTGCTATAATGGACAGAAAGATATTATTGCCAAGTCCAATGTCATGCAGCTTTCTCCTTACGTTTTAGTCTAATGATATTGTAGTTTTGGGTCTTACACGTGGGTGTTTAATCCATTTCTAGTGACTTTTCATATATGGTGGAAAGTAAGGTCTACCTTCAGTGTTTTCCATGGGCTCTCCAGTTTTGCCAGCACCATTTGTTTAAGAGTTTTAATGCCATTTAGTGAGCACCTTCTTACTTATGATCTTATAGAAGATGGTTAGCACAAGAGCATTTTCTCAAAAGTGGTCCACATGTTTGGATGTTCTTACAAGTGGAAATGTTATGAAACTTTTAAGAACAGCCTCCTAGCATGCTTTTACAGAGATTTTACAATAATTACACAAACAGCCTGCCATTGAGACTGATCAAGTTTACTCACATAAAAAAAGGTAAATACCTAGTTCCATCCATGCATGAATTTTGATCTAGGAAAATCTAGTGTTGCACCTTTGAATCATTTGATAATGGAGGTCTAATGGCTTCTAGATACACCTTAGAAAGGATTCCTTTTTTTGTTTAATCCTTTAGTATTTACCTACACAGGAGATGTTATCTGCAAATGGAGATAGGCATACATCTTCCTTGCTCATAGATGTATTTTGTCATTTTGTTTCTTAATTTTCCTGGCTAGTATCATTAGTGCAATACTGAATAGGTGTAGAGACAGCAGGCATCCATGTCTTGCTCCTGGTCTTTGTTGGAAAGTATTTAGTTTTTCATCAAGATGTATGATGTCAGCCGGGGGATTATATAGATGCAATTTATTAGGTGCAGGATTTCCCTTTCATTTCTAGTTGGTGAGTGTCTTAATGTGAATGGATGTTGAGTTTAATCAAATGATGCTTTTGTGTCCATGGAGAGGGTCATGTGGTTTTTATGTTTTGTTCTATTGCTATAGTGAATCACATGAATGAATTTTAGGTGTTAAATAATCTTGCATTCCTGAAAAATTCTACTTGGTTATGGTGTACAATTCTTTTTATATGTTCTACGCTGGTGAGGATTTTGTCGAGGATTACTGCAACCATATTGATAGGATATTGGTACTCTTGGGCTACCTTTTTCTGGTATTGACTACAGGGCATCCTATTCTAGTTTTTGGAAGAGTTTGGGAAGAAGAGATATTAATTCTTTTTTTGATGTTTGGTAGAATTCATCTGTGAAGATATCTGGCCTGGGCTGTTCTTTGTGGGTAGAGCTTGCATTATTAATTCCATGGCTTTACTTATTATAGGTCCGTATGGATTTTCCATTCTTTTCGGTCTATTTCGGCAGCTTGTGTCTTTATAGGGATATGTCCATTTCAACATTAGTTGTCCAATTTATTAGCATTTTCACTGTATAACCATTATTCTTCCTGGAAGATCAGTCATAATGTCCATTCTACTGTTTCTGATGCTAATAAATGGGTAAGAAGATTCGAATGATAGGGTTGCCTAGGAGTCCCAAGGGGAGGAGATCTAGGACACCTTCTTAGCCTGGCACCTTCCTGAGCACAGGAAGCCCCTCATTCCCCCCCCCCCCAAAGCACTTGTTACCCTCGCACAGGAGCAGTGCTCACAGAAGCCTGTAAAGCTTCCTCATGAAGAAAGACACCCCACAGGGGAGCCCTATGAACAAATGACACTCTACCCTTTTGATAGAAAAGAAACTGAAGCTCCAAGAGATGGAGACCCTTGCTCTAGAGCCCCCAGCTTGTCAGAGGCCTGCTTGCCTGGGACCCCACCCTCTTCCCTTCTCAGCAGAGGCTGAGTGGAGAGCAGGGCTCTGAATAGGTTCAGGAAAGTAGAGTGATTTAGAGAACAAGGCTGTAGACCCACGATGGGGTTCCCGGGCAGGTGGCAGGAGGTGCAGTCGTCAGAGCCACAATGAGGGGGATGCAGGGCTGGGGGTGTGAGGGGACCCTGTCAGCTGGTCCTGCCTGGATGACTGTGCCATCTCAGCAGCTGGTTGGGAAAAGACCCAATAGGAGGTGGGAGGCGGGTTCTGGTGCTCGCAGTGTCCCCCACAGGCCTGGTGGCAGAGGTCAGGTCCCCTGCTATCTGCACCCAGTGTACTGGTCTGAGGCATGAAGGAGGTGGGTGAAGGCACCAGACAAATGAGGGGATGCCTTGTTGAATATGGGTGTCAGGTAAGGAGGGCACACGCTGTAGCAGGAGGATGTTCTGCGCAATGTCTGGGACCGACTTACCCTAAAGGATGGTCTCTTACTTATCTGATACTGCCTGTTAAGTGGGCAGCCGCCACGGTTATTACCAATGAGGGCCGTGATCTTGGTGCACAGACGGGGAGTCAGGGGCCCGGGAGCTGGGCCTAGACCCCTGTCCAGGACTCACCTCCTTCCCATGGGCTGTGTCTCCCTGTGGCCCTGGGCCCTGACAGGCGGGGCTGAAGGTGGCTCTGAGGGAAGAGCCTGCCTCCACGGTGCTGGCCAGCAGGCTGGTGAGGGGCTGGGGACACAGGGAGTCCTTGAGCTCATGCTGGGTGTCCCCCACCCGAGAAGGCAGGGCTGGGAGGAGCTGTCAGCATCTGCCCCGAGCACCTGTCTCTAAATCTGGTGGAGTCGGCTAGAGCTACTGGGCTGAAATGGCTGGGGGAGAGCAGGGAAATGGGGATGGCTGGGGGAGGGACGCCTGCACAACTCCTGGGAGGTTGGGGAAGGGGTGGGGGATGGGATACTCATGGCCTAGGTGCCTCCTGAGCTCTCAGGTGCAAGGATGGATCTTCCATGACCACATCTGGGGCAGGATGGGGGCATCATGGCAGCTGTGCCCTCCAGCCACCTTGCACTCAGCTAGGAACACTCTGTGTGGGCAGAAGGGGAAGAGAGATAGTGTGGAGCCTCTCCTCCCCCCACTTCTCCACAAACTGGTGATGTTTGTGGTAAACCAGGGACCTGCGAGGTGGCCTATAAGAGGAGCAGGACGTGGCAAGGTCAGATGTGAGGTGTCCAGTCTGTATAAAGGGGTTTGAGGGTGTGTCAGCAGCTGCCTTGCCATGACCTCCTGGGCCCTCCTGCTCCTCGCCTCGGTGCTCCTGGGCACCCCAGGTAAGGACATTCCCCATGTGATCCTGGCTAGTCCTCTTTAGCTGAGGGTAGGGACAGTTCTGGAGAGTGATTTGGACTTGATCACCTAATATGAAGTCTTTGCGGAAGGTAAGAGGGAAAGAAAGACAAGCTTGGGAAGGGATGAGATTTTTTTCATTTTAGTGCATTCTGAAAATTTGCATGTGTGTTTGTGTGTGTGTGTGTTTGTCTGTTGTTTTTGTGTTTTGAGAGAGAGAAAGAGAGAGAATAGAGATAGAGGCCTTGGTAGACAGAAAGGTTTGTGCAGATGGTAATATTGGAGAGATATTATCTTCTCTTCCCGTTTCCAGAAAGGTCTTAAAAGCATGTCTTTTCACAGAGCCTGGGTCAAGGCAGCCCCAGGGCAGTGTGAGGACAGGCCTCCTGGGCCCCTGTCCAAGCCCCACCCCTGTCCGGGGCTCTGGCCTCCTCCTGGGCTCCCCAGCAGCCAGGAGTTCTGACTTCCCCTCCTCTTCCACGTGTGGACACATGCTGATGCTGTTTCTTCCGCAGGTCTGACCTATTCTGGTCTGATCCCTGAGGACCATGATGACCTGTCCAAGGCCGACATTTGTCAGGAAGAGCAGTTCTTCAGGAGACTGGCCCAGGAGGCTGCCCAGGTTCTTTGCTGGCTCCCTGCTCACCTCCCGAGCCCCTCCTCGTTTTCTGCATCCAGGGAGCACCAGGCGATAGCTGCACATCTGTTTGGGTGGGGAGGGGGGACAGAGCAGTGGGCTGAAGACGCTGCTCTTGTGCGCACTTGTGCCTGTTCAGGGGGGCTACCTTGGTCTGTCTGGGCCCTCCCCTGAGAGGCCCCTCTGGGGTCTGACCAGAGAACACAAGGGGGGCAGGAGTTGGAATGGAGAAGGTGCAGTGGGTGTGGGACAGGTTCTGGGTGCGTCACCCTGCTAAGCCCACGAGGAAGGTGAGCTCGGGCCAGTCAGCTAGCTGGTCCTAGGCCCTACAGGACAGAAAGATCATTGGTCATCCTGCTGGCCTAGGAGGATGCAAGGGCTCCTTTCTGAATCTCTGCTCAGGATTCTAGGGATTTCTGAGAAACCACTTTGGGGATCTACTTTTTCTGACAGGGCGACCCGCAGTTCAACCAATGTGATATTTGTCGAATGATAATGACTTGGCTGAGGACTTGCGTGGGACCGTCCCAGATTCAGGTGATCTTCAGATTTGCGGAACCATCTGAACGACCATCCGGGGTCATAGTAGGGGCTCGGGGCAGGACCCTGAGGAAAAGCTGATCCTTGTTTGTGTGAGACCTTCTCAAGAGGGTTTCTGAGGTCCCCCCCCTGTGTCTGGGGAGGGACTACAGAGAACCATTTGATATTGGGATGCTCTGGGAGCAGGTAAGGATGCTTTCTCTTTCATTGTCAAAGGAAACTTGTAGCCAGGAGAGGTAGGAACTTTTCCCCTGTGGTCAACTGCATGTGCCCACGGGAGAGCCTATGAGGCTGGATCCAAGGGCATCTGGGTCAGGGTTGATGAACCCCAGATCTGTCACCTCTAGCTGCATGGCTGGGCCAAGTGCTAATGCTTTCTGAGTCTCAGTTTCCTTCTCTGTGCAATGGGATGGATATTAATCCCCCAAACACTTCCTTAGTCCTTTTTGAAGGAGCTGAGGGGTGGGTTAAGCTGAGTTCCCCATCTGGCCCTGAGCAAGTGCTGAACTAGTGGATGTGTTCCTCCCAGGAAGCCTCGTTTCACCCTCCCTCCCTCCTTCTCCTCTGTTCCCTGACCCTGCTCAGCTTCTGGGTGCTGCAGGGCCCACCCTCAGCCCTGGGCACTCAGCTGTAGCCTCTCTCCTGCGATGGCAGTAGACGATACTGCAAAATGGAACGTGCCATGGCTCAAAGCTCTCTCTCCTAACCTTCCCCACCCCACTTGAGCCTGTGCCCTGCCAGCCCTGGGACCCAGGAGGCCTCTGTTCACAGAATCTGATTGTGGGGTAGCAGCAGGGGCACTGTGCTCCACATACAAAGACAGTGGGCCCGGGGTGATGATGCACTAGGGACTGACACAGGACAGAGCCAACTGTCCTTGTCTCCTGATCCCCTCCTGGCCAGGCCCAGATCAGGGCCTTGGGACTGGGCATGAGGGCCGATCCAGGTCTCTCCAGCCTCTGCTTCCATGGTCACCTGGCACCAGGTCCTCCTCCCAGCATGCCCACAGTCAGAGGGTCCCTGGCCCAGGAGCTGCAGGGATCCGTGGGGGTGGTTGGGGCAGAGCACAGCTAATTCTTGTCTCTGGTCATGGTGCTGTTGCTACTTCAGGGAGCCATTGACAAGGCTACAACAGCGGTGTGCTCAAAGATTCCAGCGGTGGAAGACATCTGCAAAGATATCCTCACCAGATTTTTGTGTGGGGTTGCCCAGTTTTTCCTGAATAGTGATCCCTCCAGGGATATCTGTGTGACCTTCAGGATGTGCAGACCTCAAGTAGGTGAGTACAGAGGTAACAGCAGGGACCCCTTCCTGTGGGGTCCAGATCTCATCCCCAATTATATGTAGCATGGTGTAAAAACATGGAAATACATCTGTCATAGACAAGTTCATAAGCAACTCATACATGTTCCCCCTAGCGCCGTTGTTCTGATGCATTCCTCCCCCACTGTGTGGAAGTCTGGAGAAATTGGGCAGGTGGGCTGTAACAAGAATGGTTGTGAAATACTCATGAAGAATCTGGACTTTTAAAATATTTAGTTAAAAAATTTATGTAATCTCTCCATCCATCGTGGGGTTTCAACTCACAAACCTGAGAGCCAGAGGCCCAGGTGACTCACTGAGCCAGCCAGGTGCCCCAAGGGTTCAGGGGTTTCTCTCAGGCTACCGTGGGTGACATCAGGGCTCCATCTCTGGTCAGCATGCACTTGAGCAAGTAGCTTAACGCCTGTGAACTTGAGCGTCTCTACCTGTGAAGGGGATAATAATCCTGATTTTTTATTTTGAATAACACTTGAGTGAGATGATTATGTGTAAGGAGGTTACCACCAAGGAAGTGGCCTCAGCCTGGGCTAGGCATAGACGACAGAGGCCTGACTGACACCTGTCCCCAGCCCAGCAGCGGTTCCTGGGGAACAGGAACCAGGCACCATCTCGCCCAGGACACCCGGGGCCCGAGAGCCGGGCTCGGGAACCCCGCTGGCAGGGAAGCTCTGCAGCCTCTCCCTCCAGGGCTGCCCAGGCTGCGCCCACAGATCAGGCTAGGGTGGTGGGACCGGGGGCAGGAAAGGCCCCTTAGTGTCTCTGGCAGCCAGTCTTGCCTTGACTGAGGCTTTGGGACTTGATGCTGGCAGATCTGGGGTCACCTCATAATGCGAGGTCCCCACCACTTCCTGTCATTGGAGCCTGTGGTTTCCATCTCCAGAACCCCAAACACCCTCAGGCTCCTGATTGGGTTCCAGGATGTAACTCTGGGTGTGATCTGCAGGGGCAGGTGGCTCTAGTGCACATTTGCAGGGACCCCACCCCTGCCACAGCTGTTTCTTCTCCCCACTCCAGGTGTCCAAGGAGCTGGGACCTTACTGCACCCCGGGGAGAAGCACAGAGTCTCCAGCAAGCACCGCCAGCTCCTGCCTTCCTAAATCCAGGACGGACCCTCCAGTTTCTCTCAGCTAGCTCCCTGCAGTGTCATCCCCTGGCAGGAGAATAAAATGTCTTGCAAGCTTTTGGCCACAGCTTTTGTTCCTTTGGGGGATTGGAGGGGAGGGGCTCGGAGACAGGCTTGGGTGACTTATGCACTGACTCATTGAATGTTTATTGCATGTCCCACACTCTGTTGTAGAAGCTGAGGCGGTAGCGGTGCACAAGACAACGTTTGCAGGTCTTCCACATATACATGAGATGCTTATGATGCCCTCACTAGAGATACACACTCCTCTCAGAGCCGGGGACACAGTGAATATACCCCAGAAGCTCTCAGACCAGCAGGGGAAAACAACAGGCTTGTAGTAAGAGGGCTCTTGGTCCTAAGGAGCTGAAATGCATTCTTTGCTTTGGGAAGTTCAATATTTAGGATTGTTTTGCTTGGGAAGCATTAGAAATCTTAGGTCCTTCAGCCTTAAATGAATAAGACAATTTATTGGATGAAATTGGATGAAATGAAATCATTATGCAGTCCATAGCTGGCTTCAGGCACAGGATGATCCAGAAATGAGTAGTGTCACCAGGCTTCAGTCCTGTTATCTCTGCTATTGTCTACATTCCTCCCACCTCTGTATAGTGAGATTGATCTCAGGCTAGCTTCCATCTGGGCAGCAGCAATGGCCTCATCACGTCCACACTTGACATTTCATACTGTGTCATCCAGACAGAAAGAGAGTGTTTGTTGATTCTACGTTGTACCTGCTCCCAGTGAGGGGAATGGAGGCTTCTTTTCCAGAAGCCCCATTAGACATCTCTGTTCGCACTGACTGGAGTAGGCCAGGCACCTATTTGGAATCCATCCCTCGGTTCCAAGGGCATGGGCGACAGGATAGCATGAGGCAAGTCAGGACACACCCCTGGTGCGGAAGCGGAGTTTATCCTCCTCAGTCACTCAGGGGAGAATGGACATGGTACCTGGAAAGGGAAGGTAACTAGAGAGGGAGTGAATGTTGGCCATCACCAAAAGCAATGGTGCATCCACCAAGATTCAACCCAAGAGCAGTTCAAGGATACTCTCAATGGTGAAATCTGGGGCAAATGGAGTATTAAAATGGGTAAGGACAACAGTAGGTTGTCACTCATTGTGTAACGTAGAATCCATGAACCATATAGATATAAATAGTCATAATTAATAAGGGAAAAAGGAAAGTGTTACTTCAGAATACCAGATAATAAATGTAGACAAAGTTGCAAACTGTATTTCCACAAAGATTTACTAGATGGGAATTACTTACTAAATGGCATTATTAGTTAGGGTGACAGTGGAGACATGGCAGACAGGTGATTAATGTTTTCTGCCCCCTCCCCTGCCCATGCACTAACCCTGAGGAACATCAGACAAACCCACAGTGACTTTCCACACAGCAGCTGGTCTGTACTCTTCAAAATGCCAAGATCATGAAAGAGGAGAAGGGATGGGGCATCTCTTCCGATTCAAAGAAAACTAGGAAGATGCTTGATGTAATTGTAACAGATGAGCCTGGCGTGTATCAAGACTGCAAAAGACACGGTTGGTGTAATCTGGGAAACTCACTGCAGCCTGGGATGATAATATTGTGCCAATGGTAGCGTCCTGATGTGGATGGCAGTGCCACCCTATGAATGACAGCGTCCTTCTTGTAAGGAAACACACGCTAAAGTATTAGGGGGTCGTGGGGCATCACGTCTGCAATGCACTGCCAGTGAGTTAGGAGAATGGTAACATGTACACTCAGAAACACCAGGACAAGACAGCACAGCACATACATGTAGTAAAATGTTACCAGTGGGGGAATCTGGTTAAGGTGAACGGGAGCTGTTTGTTCTAGTCTTACAAGCTTTGCCTAAATCTGACATGATTTAAAAATAAAGAGAAAAGACTTGCAGTAATTTGCCTTTAGCACATGGATGGGTGGTGTGACATGTACTAAGGGGGGAAAGACACTTAGATGGGTGGACTTGGAGAGAATGAGGAAGGGTTCTTCTTTGACCCTAAGACTGTGTCTATTCCGTATGCAGGTCGGTGGATGGGGAGGGGGTGTCTGGGCCGAGCCCAATTTGAAGTCCTTGAACTGGGTGTGAAGGGCAGGGAGACAGTGCAGAAGGAGAACATTCCTGTCTGAGGACAGGAGGGGCTAGTCAACCTGTGGCGGCTGGTGGTGGTGGAGGAGGAGCAAAGCAGCAAGGAGATTGGGGAGAGGCAGCCAGTGGCACAGGGGAAACCAGACATGGGGCTAAGGAGCCAAGAGAACCAAATGTTTCAGGCTCTAGGGAATGGCTGAGCTTGTCCAGGGTCACTGGGATAGTACAAAAGAAGAAGAAAGAGGAAATTCCGTCCCTGGATTTGGGTGCTTTTGGGCCTTGGGGACCTTAGTCAGACGGTTTCAGTGCACAACTGCCATGTGCCCTGGGATTGAAGGGTGTGATGTCAGCAGGCGGGGATGGCCTTAGGAGGGGGTTCCTGTCAAGAGTCGGAGCCAAGTGTGGCAGAGCTGCAGGCCATGTGAGAGTAGAGGTGGAGCCTGTGTGTAAGGTGTGTGTCCAGGTGGATGACAATGGTCCCGGGAGAGGTCCGAGGCCCACAGCGTAGGAGAGACCCGAGGAACAACCACAGGGGAGGCCTTGGGGAGGGAGAGGAAGGGTCCAGGGCATGATGGAGGGTGAGCAGGGACTTCTAAAGGTGGGAGCAGAAGAAGGTGGCTTCAGTCTTAGAGGTAACAGCTAGTAAAGGGCAGGGCGCAAGCCAGCTCTGGTCACCTGTCAGGACGAGCATGCGTGCACTTGCGTCCTAATACAGACTCCTCTGGGGTACCCTCTCTCCCCCAGGACCTTCTCAATTCTCTAACATTTCCTCTGTGACCCACCTGGGCAATCCAGGCCGCCAGCTGGTGTCATGTGAAATCCCTCCCTCCTGGCCACTTCCTAGTTCCCTGACTCCAGCTGGGGCCAATGACCCCCCCCCCCCCCCCCGCCGCCTTCCTGGCAATATGGAGTAGCCTGATCCTAGTGCAAAGCAGCTTAGCCCTGGCCAGGCTCTGCAACCATCTCCTTGGGCGTCTTCAGACTTCCTTCTGCCTTTGCTCCTAGGTCCTTTCTGTACAGGGCAGCCCGGGCTCTTTCCAAACTACAAACCACATCTCCTCACCTTCCAGTGGCTTCTCACAGACCTCTGGACAGAGTCCCAGCTCTGTGTTACATCCTGGTGTCAGGATAGGGAACACATGAAGGAAGTCACTTCCCTCAAGCAACTGGCAATTTACCAAATACTAGTAATGTCACATGAAATAAGTCTAGCTCCCTAAATCCCCTCTGTTTGTACAAGAAGGAAAAATTATCAATTTTATTAAATGTTATCCCATGAATACATGTCTTCATTGTGTTTTGGGTGATGAGGTTGGAAGTATGCGTAGACCCTTGTGTTGCACAGAGAAGTCTGCTGTTTACATCAAGGTAAAGTGCTTGGGTGACTGAGTCGTGAGCCCAACCACCTGCTTTTTCAGGGATCACTATTCTTTACAGTGTAAAAAACACACTACAAAAAATTTATAATTTTAATGATGTTTAAATGTCCACTCAGCAGCGTTGAGTATATTCTCAGTCTTGTAACACAGACATCTAGGAGTTTTTATCCACAGAGCTGAGGCTCCATACTCATTGTTAAGCCATGACTCTCCGGTTCCATGACCCATAGCCTGGGTACCAACATTCTATTTGATGTTTCTAATAATTTGATTACCTAGACATCTCATATAAGTGAAATCATACACTATTTGCCTATTTGTATTTGGCTAATTTCACTCAGGTTAATGCCCTCATAGTCTATCCATGTTCTGACATTCAACAGGATTTTATCTTTTTTTCTTTTTTAAATATTTTATTTATTTATTCATGAGAGAGAGGGAGAGACACAGGCAGAGAAGCAGGTCCATGCAGGGAGCCCGATGTGGGACTTGATCCCGGGACTCCAGGATCACGCCTTGGGCCTAAGGCAGGTACCAAACCGCTGAGCCACCCAGGGATCCCCAGGATTTTATCTTTTTAAGGTTAATAACATATATATACTTATGTTACCTTTTATTTATCCATTCCTCTGTCCATGGACATTTGGGGGCTTTCACCTCCTGGCTATTGTGGATAGTGCTACTAAGAACATGGATGTGGAAAACCTTTCATGACCCTGCTTTCATTCTTTTGTATAAATACCTTAAGTGGGTTTTCTGGCTCTTGTGGTGGTTTTACCTTTAATATTTTGAGGAACCACCATATTGCTTTACATAGTGGTTTCATGATTTTACAACAACAGTGCACACTTTCTCCACATCTTCACTAACACTTGTAATTTTCTGTTTTTTGATAAGAGCCCAGTTATCAGGCATGAGGTGCTACCTCATTGTGGTTTTGCCTTGCATTTTCCTAACAATTATTGATGAGGAGCATCTTTTCATATGCTTGTTAGTCATTGGTATATTTTGTAGGGAGAGCATCTATTCAAAGTTCTTCTTCACTTTTTACTTGAGCAATTTGTTGTTGAGTTTTAACAGTTCTTTGTGTGTTCTGAGTATTAACCCATTATTAGGGAATGATTTGTAAATATTTTTACCCTTCCATAAATCGCCTTTCCCTTCTGACTATGTCACTGGATACCTCGAATTCTTACGTTTGATGAAAGTTTTGTCCATTTTGGTGCATTTCTTGAAGTCATACTGAAGAAATCATTGCCAAGTCCAATGTCATTCGGCTTCCCCTAATGCTTTAGTCTAATGATATTATAATTTTTGATCTTCCATGTAAATGTTTAATCCAGTTCTATTGACTTTTCATGTATGGTGGAAGGTAATGGTCTACTTTCAATCTTTAGTATGGGTTCTCCAGTTTTCCCAGCACCATTTGTTGAAGAATGTCGATTCCTTTAGTGAACACCTTCTTAGATATGGTATTGTAGAAGACAGTTAGCAGGAGGGTGAAGTTTCTCCAAAATGGTCCACGTG